TCACAGCTGTGTGTTTTTTAGCAGGAGAGCAACCAGGGAAAGAAAGTCAGAGGAGAGGAAGGAGGACAGTGCTGCAGCACAGACATCTATTGCATAGATAAGAGTCTTTTGAAGAGGGACAGTGAGGGAAAGGTAGATTTAAAGAACATTTAATACATCCCAATACTTAGGAGAATACAGGCAGGAGATAAGCTTACAGATAACCCATTAAAACGCTTTTATTAACAGAGAACCCCAACAGACATCATGAAGTTTAAAGGCCTGGCAGGAAGAGGCAACACATAATGTACTCAGCAGGCAAAAGTCCTTGAAAATATGGTCATTGGCCTGCAAAAAAAGCAACAAGGGCTGTTATCCTCAAACAGAGCATTCACTTGATTCCATTCCAAGCTGATGCTTGCCATGGGTTTTGCCCTCACCGATAAGTAATATTAAGCACATTTACAGGTTAGTCAAAGTTTTCTCTCCACATAAGTCCTTACCAGAGTTTTCTCTGCAAACCTGACCCAGCTGAGAGAGGGGCTACCCACTGCCCTCTCCCCTGTTGTCAGATCAGAGCTGGAGCTGACAAAATGCACCTGCCATAACGACTCACCACTGACGACCCTGCACCTTCAATATAAAGTTTCAAGCACCTGATATTAGTGTGACACTGGCGAGCTCTGCTGTCTCTGTCTGCAGGCCTGGAGCTTCGCAGAGCATTGAGCTTCTATGAGGCACCCAAGGAGAGATGAGGTGGCAACACTTCATAGCTGCCTCTGGGAAAGGAAGCCCTGTGCTCTCCAGCAAATGGCTGAGACAAGAATCTGCACAAAACCAGCTGAAACAGCACGAGAAAAATCAGAAGCCAGAGAGAATTATTTTCCCCCCAGAAGAGGGAAGAAATGGTGTGCATAGATAGTGTCCTGGGGGTTATAAGGCGTGACACGGTGACACAATGATGGCATAATTTCCAGATGATCTGTCGAGCAGAAGATGCTTTGGAAAGCTCTGTTAGCCAGATCAGTTTTCGGGATGTGTGACTAAAAGCAATAGGCCATAATAATTATTTTTTAAATGTCACTTCAAGCACCGTTTTCTCCTGATAATCACTAGAGCACATTTCTGGCACAAAGTGCCTCTGTACAGTGTATCTTGCTAGTATCTAAAGCTAGCACTCAGCTTTAGGCAAAGATGTTAAAAACAGTATAGCATTTTGCTCTTGCAAGGGAGAAATCTCACAATTAGGCCATCTGCTACCTTGCACACCAGTGACAGCTTGTCCTCCTATTTGCTGATAGAACCAGGGCTGGCAATTAAATAGCAGCCCTTCCTCCCTACCCTCCTCCCAACAGCTACACCCCTGCGCCACAGCTCCTCTTGTGCAGCACCTACCAGAGATTTCCTTCTTCTCCTGAAAACAGACAAGCTGCTGCACTCCCCTGCCAGGTACCTCCCTGCAGCCAGTCCCTGCCCCTCTCCTTTTGCCTTGTCTTTGGCTCCCTTGAGCCACAGCGCTAGGTGGGGACAGGCTGATGCTGATGTTGTAGAGGATGAAGTTACAGCTCCTAAATGGCATGATGCTTATTCCCACATCATATTAACCAGTCACAGTCAGGAGGGAGCTGCCTCTGCACCTGATGTGAGTGCTTTCATGTATCTTGAGCCTCCTCGAGACAAATCTTCTGTTTCAGAGTAGACTGAGAAAATGCCTGATAGGCCACACTAATTTCAGCCTTCCTGCAGGCAGGAAGAAAGGGTCTCATTATACTCTGTCTCTACAAATAACTACACCCCAGCATAGAGGTACCCACCCCACCTTGCAAGGCAGCGATCAGCTGTGGTGGTGTGGAGCTCAGCACTGCTGGGCACCTTCGCACTTCCATCAAACTCAGCTTCTCTCAGAGCCTGAGCAGCCCAAATCCACATCCCTGCTGTACACCACAGTCCCCTGGGCACAGAGTTCACTGGCTTCTTCTCCTGGGTGCTCCCTGCACAGCACTGGCACCATGTCATGGAGATCACAGCTCCTGTGTTCCCCCCTTCCATTCCCTGTGCCCTCGCCCTTGCTGCATTCATCAGGCATCCTCCCGTCCTCCACCTCCCTGCAGAAGACAGCTCTCTTCAGTGGGCTGCTGGTAGATAATGTGCCTGACTCATAATGGCTTGCTTTCTTTTAAAGAAGATGGATATCTCTGAAGTTGGTGGGTTTTGTGTCTCTCAAATTCATAATCCTGTGATTGTGATGATGTTCAGCACTAGAGTTACTACAGCACAGAGGCTGGATGCAGCGGCACGCTCAGGGCTGAGTGCCAAGCTGGGAGCAGAGAAACACACTGCACATGCTTTATAAGCCACAGAGACCTGTAGCAACGCCGTGCTCCTGATCAGATACCACACTTCGCCTTCTTTCGGCACATCAAGAACATTAGTGTGTTTTCAGCAGGACCCAAAAACCCAGACACAAAAAGGCAGATGTGGGGCTTAGCTTCACAGTTACTTTTCCTCTGACAGCTCTGTAGAAAGCTAAGTATTCATGCACCTAATTAGCATGTACTTCTTTAAGGGGGCTTGTCCTCTTTGTGCTAACCTGTGCTGAATTGCCGAGCACACAGAATTTTACTTATGGTGCTGGATGAATTCACCTGTGGGGCAGCTGATCAGTGCAAGGGTCCCTGCATCGCTCCAGTGATGAAATGAGGCTTGCTCTACTCTGTTCGGTGAGCTACGTTTCCCCTTGCTGGGCTCTCCGGCATGGACAGACATTTGAAACGGGAGGTGGTCTGGGTCGATGGAGATGATGTTTGTCATGGGGAAGAGGACGCGTTCCTGCTGCCAGGCAACCAGCGCTGCAGCGCCCGTGCCAATGGCTGCAAACACCTCTGCAGAGGCAGGTCTACAGAAGGAGCGGCCAACCCGGGGCTGCTGAGGGGGCCCCATCACCCCACAGAGCCGGGGGGTGCCACAGCTGCTCCCCCAGGGGACTCCTACAGAGGTAAAGTGGGGAGATGGGGCTGTACCCCCTTCCCTGCCCACCTGAGGGTCCCTGTCCAGGAGCCAGGGCACTCAGGGAGCCCAGTGCCCACTGCATCAAAGGAGACTTTCTGCCCTGCTTCCAGCTGCAGTTTTGGTCAGTGCTGCTCAGTGGGACATGCCCCTGCAGCACAGACCCAGGTGAGAAGGTTTGCATGGTAGTGCTGTGGGGTCTGCAGGGCTGTCCACAGAGCCCCTCACCCTCCCTCAGCACTCATCCTTAGGTGCATGGGGGCATTTCACACCTTCTGCAGACAGCTTTCCACTCCTGCCCATTCACCCCTCTCCATCCTGTGGCACAGCCTTACTGCAGGGCTGGCACAACCCAGGTTCTCCATCACTTGCCCAGTGTTCACTGTATACTTGTGCCCCAAAGAAACAAACCCCTTCTCATCATCCTCTCTGCTGCATCTTCAGCCACTCTGGCATGGGGTAAAAGGAGCAGAGAGAAGAGGGACCCCAGACTGGTGTTGGTACCAGTGTGGGGAGGGGGTGCAATTGCTGTTCTGGCTGGTGAGCTCCAGAGGGAACTCCTATGCTCTGCTCTTAGCCTGGGTCATGAATTTCTTTCCCCAAACCCTGCTGCAATCTGCCACACACAGCTTGTCAACTGAGGATGCAATAGATTTCACTCATGACAGATATGCATACACACACATATGCATGAAAAGCTCATTCAGCAGGATTAGGCCAAATTACCATAGTGTGTGCAAAACAGCAGTGCCATCCGCTGAAAGCATGCCCTTTGCTAGCTCATTTTGATGAATGACTTTGGTTTCTTCCAGTCTCTCATCCCAGCAATATTATTGTGAATACAACATGGAGACTTTTGTATTAAGCGTTTCAAGAAGTTTTCATATAGTGATAGTAAGGCCTCTATGATCTAATATTTCCAGGGGAAATTTTTGTTCAGATTTTCATTTAGTTTTTATTTTACATTTTAGGGGCAAGATACCTGGAATGCCAAAGAACACATCTTGTTCCATCCCACTTGGTCCTTCACAGACAGAGTTTGGCCATAAGTCCAGTGGGAAATGGAGATGACTTGTACTCTTGCCACTTTGCACAGCTTAGACCCTAGAAATAGCAATGTGAGTTGAGAGCAGGTGAAGAGAAAGGCAAGATCAGATAATTTATTGCAGCTCCCCCCTATGGTAGTTACAGATGAATCTCCATGGATGAAATGTTACTTGCAGAAGTTTGAAGCTGGGGGATAGGAATCGTGTCCCTTTTGGATCCCGGGAGCAATTTACTTCCAGCATGGGCGCTGCAGCGAGCAACAGAGCAGCAGTGATAGCGAAGGGCAGTTCAGAAACAGCATTTTCTCCTGAAGATCCTTCCCATTTTTCCCTGCATCTCATCGCTTGTGCTTGTAGCAAGGCAGGTGGCATGGCTCCCCAGTGCAGATGGCTGTAGGAGATGAAGCACTGCCTCCTCCAGTGCCAGTGGGTGCAGGCAACCAAGTCTCTGCACCCAAGCAGCCTGGACTGGGAAGCAGACTCTGTTACAGTCGTGCGCAATGCTGCCTGATGATTCACTCCAACTAGCTTTTCATTCCCTTGGGAACACAGAAGGGAGGCAGGGAGAAGATCAGCACCCCGCAGACCCAGTTTCCCCATACCTAAGCTTACCCTTGCCCTTACTTAAGAGGAGTATGGAAAATCTGTCAGAATAAACATCATTAAGGATTATTGTTAGAATGTATGAAGCAAGGACTTAACCTACTGCCTTGAACTCTCATCAGCCCTAATAAAAGGTGAGGGGTGAGCTTGAGGGCTATCCTGCAAACTGGGCAAGCCATGGTGATGCAGAGTTCTATCAGTAGGCCACTGGGCTGGCCTGGCAATAGTTTTTAGCAGAGTAAAAATACCTGACTTTGACAGCTAGCATGCTGGTTTGTGTGTGCATAATTTGCTGTGATCATGCTATAAATCAAGATGAGACTGCTAAAATTATGTATGACCTCATTTGATAGATTATCTAATAAGGAATTTGCTAATGCAGTTTATCACTTAAAAAGCCATACGACTGCTAAGGATGAGTACTTTGCTGCAGCACATTTAAACCTAATTGTCAGAGGAGAAAAGCAAGCGGATTTCAGAGGTGAGTTAGAAGAGCATCCTTATGAGGATGATGTCTTCACTAAATCAGTGGTGCAATGCAGCAAGCAGGGTGGAAAGGAGTCTCCTCTGGATAAAGGTACAGAAAGCTGCTAGACAAGGCTGTGCTGTGTGAGAATACTGCATGGACTCACTGATCAGTAGTGCCTTTATAAGTGTAAATAGTTGTATCCTAACGGGCATGCTTGCTTTTATTGTTTGATCTGGTGTTATCTTTTAATTTTTATGACATTTCAGTTCTATTTCACTGTCTTGCAAGCAGATCTAAAATCCCTGATATGTGGAAAGAAACTACCAGCCTAGACCTCTAGCTCTAACTTGCTATTCTGGTTATCATGCCTGTCAGAATGAAAAGAGTAATTGTTTTGCTGCTATATGTTACCATCAAATATTTTTGTTCTTCCAGTCCTGTGACTCATTTAAAAAGACTGAACATCACTTTGACGTACACAAACAGAACTAGAAAGCAGCTCAAGCCAATGAAACAAAGCTTGTTTTGCAGGTTTGTTAATCACATATTCTGTTCCAGTCCTAAATTTATGATTAATATGATTAAAATATAAATGCTGTTTTCTTTACTGATGTTTTTCTAAAGCTCATTCTGGGGTCTAAATGCCTGTATACATTCCCTGGATGTATAATACTGTTCAAAGCCTCTGAGATAAACATTAAACCTTCTCACAACTCTATGTGTGTGTGTGGAGGGGGAGGTGTTAGAGAAGTGATGATTTTGAACTCCATTTTAAGATTGAGAAAAATGAGGTAGAAACATGAAAGAGCTTACAAAAGGCCACACAAAAAAATCATTATCAGAGCCAAGGCTAAGCCTCTGACTTCCCACAATCCCCATCTCACCTCTTGACTGCCCAGAGCACATATCCCCTTTCTAGCCCCCGCACCTTGAGCACATCTGGACTCATTTGTACCCTGCCCAAAAGGGGGAGTTTGTTCTTCTCCAGGGGAAATAATGCATTTTGGCAGGATGTTGCTGTACAGAAAGCAAGACATGACCATTAGCATAAGAAGGCAGAAGGTAATTTTACTGAGCACTGCTAAGTCAATACAGTAGTTGATACCTCCACATCGACTTAGGCGTGTAACTAATGATTTGGGATTGTACAGGAGCTACTGGTGTCCCAAGAAAAGCAAAGGTACCTGTAAACCATATATAAAGGGCCTAGGATCAAGGAACTGAAGAAGGATATTTTGGTAGAGTCATAAATTAGAGTCACACAGGGGAACTCCCTGTGACATTTGCATAGGAGGCCCACCTAAATATGATGATGCCTGTGTTGATAATGTAATCCCAGCTGAGTAGCTGGAACTGTTCCTGGGAGTCTGCATTTCTGTATGAACACACAAAACAAAGCTGTGTGTATACATCTAACTGGAATGATTTATTTACAAAAGAGAAAAACGCAAAGTAATGGCAGTATCATCTACCTCATTAAATGGCCAGCTCTAAATGGGAGAAGCCACTTGAGGGGTAACAGCATAGTTCACCAGCATGCCACATCACCATTTGTGGTTTTCCCCACTGACATTAATTGATACAAACTGAGTTAGTGGATTTTACATTCAAGATACTTCTCTACAACAAGGTGGACTCAGGGCATCTGCTCACTCACCCTAGACTGTCAAATAACTCCCTGGTGATAATTTTTGGTCACAGTTGACATGGCTTAGACGGAAGTTTCATCATAAAGTGTTCATTAGTCATTCCTTGAGTCACCCTGTTTCATGAGCTCTTACCCCTACCAAGATAAAATCTAGCTATCAGTAACAATTCTCAGAGACCTACCAGTCAGTGATTGTGTGATGCAACCTGTAGCAGCCAGGCAGAATTTACTCCTCCGTATTTTATCTCCTGCCAGTTATCAGCAAGGCAAAGTAAAAACAGCTGCTCTGAGCCCACATTATTGCAGTGAGATTCCAAGGGAGAAAAGCTGAACTTCATTTAAAACCAAGGGAGAACCAAGAAGAGAAATAAGGGTCCTAAGCCTGTACCTTTGAAGCGGAATTTTTTTCCTCAATACATATCATTCAAAATAAATGCTTCTCATGCCTACTGGGCAGTAAACCTTGCAATGTAGCTGCATGTAGTGTGCTTGGCCATATGGTTAGTAATGCACAATGAAGTGATACATATTATAAAAATAGTACTGGTAGAATTATTCTTAAAACACCACTTATGGGCCAAAAATATCCTCTAGAAGAAACAAACTGTGAAAGTACATATTGAGGTTATTATCTGGTACAACAGGCAAATTCTCCTGCTGTGCAAAATCAAAAGGTGGATTTTTTTTTCCTAGGAAAACATTAGGTAAACATTCCTAGAAAGACAGAAGTGAAATGCCTGGCAGGAACTACAGCAAGCATCTGCTGCTCAGTGGTTAAAGATTGCCCAGCAAAGTCAAGGGGACACGAGAAGAGAGCAGGGCTGAAGCTGAGGTCATACCCAAGGATCTTTCTACATTCCTCCAAAGGGTGGAAATCCCACCCTACCACACATTCTCCTAGATCATATGGGAGATCTTCAGCTGAGTCACTGTAGAAGAGCAATGTAGAAATTTCCAAAGCTGGAAGGAGCAAAGTTTTACAGACATCCTATTATGTTCAACTTACATAATCTCAGTACTTAGCTGCTTAGATAATATAGTGATAGAGCTTTATGGAATTAAAAGAGAAAAAGCTTCTCACAGATAATATTATAGCAAGAATGGAATTAGAGTGCTCAAAAAATCTGTAAAATAAGTCTCATTTTCTTTCTGGCTTTATTGGACGTTTCCAAGAGGGACTTAATGCAACAAAGATGATACCTCAACACCTAATAGTGATGACATAATTTACACTGAATTGTGACTTCTCAAAGCATTGTTTTGCTTTTGGAAAGAGAAGTCCCTGATGACTTAGACACAAAAAGACAAAGATCGGGGTTCAGACAGTAGTCTGCAAAACTTGTACTAATTTCAGTGTGGATTCTTGCCTTCATCTGTACATAACACTAACGTTTTGCAAAATACAAGCAACCCTTATCTCCATGTACTGTAAAGATAAGCACAAAAGTCTTGCACAAGTGGCTGCAGCAAAGGACTGTAACTAATGTGGAAGAGTAATGATGCAAGCATGTTACACCTAGAAATATTTCCTCTCTGATCACAAATTTTGGTGTTTATCTGTGTTACATAAAATACCGAGGAGTTAGATCCTCCACTGGTTTAAGTCATAGCTCTATGAAAGCACATGGAATTATGTTGATTTGTATAAGATGATCACATATTTGAAAAACATATTTTGGCCTAGATGGCTGACAGACTTTCAGGGCTCTCTAGAGTAAGGGACTAGAAGGAAATAAGCCCTTTTAGAAAATAATACATACTTCAGTAATGTGAGTATGCCTGTCTTACTCAATGAGAAATGTACCCTCTTTTCATATGCACAAGCCATGTTATCTCTAATAAAATAATAACACCTTGTGTTGCAAAAACAGGATAGAGACATATATTGAACAATACCAGGGGGTGCTTACTCCAGAAGCGTCTCCTCTGCCTTGCTTCTGATACCTTCCTCTGCTTGCTTTTCCAAAGTAGCACCTCTGGTGGTTCAGCTTTTGTGCAGGTTATTCAAGGACTCTTTTTCAAGTACCAGTACACTTACAGGGATAAGGTTTATCTGAAAGGTAGACTATGCAAACGAACATACAATAAACTTATGCAGTTCCACATTTTTTCCACTCCAGAGATTGTTCTTCCATCACCTGACATTTTGGTGCAAAATGCATCAACAGCCTAGAAGCTGGTATGTAAACTTCACATGCCAAAGAGAGGGAATGCTAAGGACATCCATAGCTGAAGAGTTTCTATGATGGGAGAAGACTATATTCATGTGAGAGTGGAAAACTTGGTTTACCAACAGTCAAGCCATTTGCTTTGGAACAATTTGATCACTACTGGCATTAGACCAATTACTACTTTAAATGGTGCAACTGTCCTTGGGAAAGCATAGGCTTCCAGCTTCCATGACCAAACAGAGGACTGAAAAGGGCAAGGAATGATAACAAAGGAATTCAAGTTATCTATTACCAGAAAGCGGATCTGATTTCCAACAAACATCTGCCATTAAAAACTAGTTTACAATAAAATCTGCATTTCCTTTGTGCAGTCTTATACCTAAGGTTAGCCAGACATGAGAGGTAAAAAGCCAAACCATTTTGCTTATTGACAGTAAAAGTCTGCCAGTTCTTTGCAGCAATAGTGAAAAAAAAAATAAAGGTAGCTACCCATGATGCTGCTCTTCCATAATTTTGAAGCTGTTGTTCAAGATATTGTATTACTTTTTGTCTTTATTTATTTCCAAGTGTTATTGTTTGGCAGGTAAAACTCTTGGACTGTGTTATGTACCAATCCTTTCAGCATCTAGGTTTTCACAGTGATATTAATACTCAAGAATACTGGAACAGATCTAAAATAAATACACACTGTCTTCTTTACTGGGTCCTATGCATCAACTACTGCTCTAGCATGAAGAAATGCTTGGTATTCCACAACTGCATGGAGAACAGAGAAGGGAGAGCTCACAGTGAAATGCTGGGAGCTCACTCACTGTATACAAACAGAATAGAAATTAATCAAAGCTGTTCTTTGATCCCAACAGTCCAGGCCATGTTCTGTTTGACTCCGCACAGGCAGCCTCCAGCCCCTTTGCTCCTGCACTCACACGGGCACCAGGCATTGTTTAGCCTCCCTGTCCTACAAAGCATCTGGGTTGATGCAGCATTAATCACCTTGGGATGAACCTGTGCAAGCCAAATAGGTGCAGGGCCCTTGCTCTATCCAGAAGATCAACACAGGAAACCTCTCATGAAGGAGCAGCCGGCTCTGCCGCTCAGTGCTTCCAGTGACCCAGGTGCCTCAAATCCAACACTCATCATGTTTCCCCCTCTGCTGCTCCCGGAGGACTTAAAGGTGTTCCCTCAGATGTAATAATTTAGCCCTTCCAGGCATCAGTCCTGTTCACCCATGTGAGGACAACAAAGTATTTAAAGCTGAAACATCCAAAGAATATATTCAAGAATCTATGATAAAAGCTACAATTTTATGCACCGTGGAGCATCCATCAAGGAAATGCACAGAGTTAGTGCCACAAAATAATTACATGTGCAGAGTCCATTGTAAACACAGCTTTTATGTGCATCAGCACAGCTGGGGACAGTGTTTAAAAATATAATTATGTAATGCATTTTATGTAGTCTGTGAGCCATTCAAGTGATACCATCGGTTCAGCAAAATTGCATGCAGCAGGTCTGTATCTATTGGCCTGAGCAAAGAAACATTTTTCAAGAGCATTATTTTTTTTTTCTGACACAAAATAGATTTGTCTCCGATGCCTACAGGGGATTTGTGTCTCTGTCATTGGCCACTTTCTCTCTTACTTTCACCAATGAAGGAGAAAGAAATGGGGAGTTATTTTTGGCCTTGCAGCAGATTCCAGCATCTAAATCAGTTAGTTCTGAAACCACTTGGGGTGGTGCCGGTTCTGTTATAATGGCTTTAGAGGGAAGGAATTTGTAATGTCTGACTGTTAGTGAAAGGAAACAAAGCAGCTGTTGTGGGGTAGAAGGGCAAGGCAAGGTTAAGACACTGTGTAAGGAGGCAGGGTCCAGCCTTTAGTACTAGACATGCAGCAAATGATGAGTCGTGGCTAGAGCAGCACAGAGGAGGCTATTACTGAGCCACATACAGGCTTCAGTGTAGCAGGAGATCTCTATTAAAATGCACAAAGAAAACAGGCTTACAGCTATACTTATTGCTCACACCCTCATGCTCTCTCCCCCACTCCCCCTCTCCATTTATTTGGTCCTTGTAATGATTATAGCATATGAGCTGCAAAACATGTAGGGAAAGCTTTGCTTTCCTTCTTGTTTAATCTGCAATTGCAGCTGAGTTGAGGTGATGCAACAGTAAAATTTCTGAGACAGTGCTTAACAGTGCTGCTAAATGATAAGAGCAGCAGCATGCACAGATATTTAGCTGAGACAAATATTGAGCTTTATAGATCCTACTTAATGGTCATTTTAAGGCCCCAAAGCTTTCAACTACTTTGCAGACAGTAGATTATGTGTCTTGGACAAATCCTACACGGAAAATGATGCCCAAACTATCAAAATCTTTCTAGGAGACCAAGAAGATTGTTTTTTCATCTAAAGAGACCATTTAAAGAAATCTGTACCTAGTTTCATCCCACAAGATCCACAGGTGGGAGTAGCAAGATAGGTTCTTCAGCTAGCCAGGAGCTGCTTGGCACAGAAACAGGACTTGATGCTAATTTCTAAATATGGAATTTGCTATCTGAAAAGAGATTTCCTTTTCCCTCTTAGGTCCTGGGTTATGTGTAGAATACTGAAAAGGATAGTGGAGACCAAAATCCTGGTGTCTGCATTCCTTCTTGCAGGCTAGCATCATTGAGAAACAGAGACATAGCTCCTTGCTTACTCCCTTCCTATGAATACTGTATTTCTTTTTGCTTAGTGGAATGGCATTGATCAGGAAACAGAAGATATCACAGCCAGGAGAGTCCATCGCTGGCTGCGGCACGGCAGAGCCTGGCGAAGTGGGAGCTCTGCTTTTGGATCACAGCCAGCTGATCAGCAATGCTCAACAGAATAGCTGTTTGTCTGAATGACAGGCACAGGCATTAACCAGCTACATTTTCAAAAGGAAGCAAATACGGGACCATTTGAAAAATCTCAGAATTGCCATATATTTGATTGCAGAGCTCCTAAGGTATTTAGATGCTTCCTTCCCCATGGAAATCTCTGTAAAATAGATTTAGTAGATGAAGCATTTTGTGCTCTGTGTGGCACAGCCTGCATAGGTTGCACAGATGTAGATTAATATAGTGAATGCCACCTCAGATTTACAGGGAAAGCTAGGGCAGCTATCAATGCGTTGCCTCCACTGCACAGCCTACTGGCATGTGTGCTAGTAACCATATTTCATGTCACAATTTGAAGATAAGGTTTTGCATGAACACTTTATGTAAGTTGATATACACACACATATATGTAGAGCATAGTACTGAGCAGAATCTTTATACATTATTAGGAAAGACTGATTTTCTGAAGGTCTAAGCAGTTAAATGGTTTCTGTAACTAAACTTGAGGAAAAGCAAACTTGCATTTTTAAAATAATTCAACATGATTTTTAAAGTTGCAAACAGTGGAATTTTTTCTGAGAAACTTTATCAACTCAATTACTACTTTGCAGCACAAGGCGTATGGTGGTACTCAGTCAAAATCAAACTGTTACCTTCTATTATGCAGACAAACAAGGCATAAATAAACAGCACTTTAACTTTCTAAGCAGAATTGATCAGTGGCTGACTAAGAAATCTTCAGGGTGAGGTATCAGTATCAAATGTAGGAGTTTTGTGGTAGTTTTTGTTCTGTAAGATGTAACATGCTCATGAATTTTATATTCTCATGGCAATTAGTAATTGTCCACTGGAATGCGTTTGATACTTTTGAGCAAGACATATT